GACGTGGTCTCCTTGTGTTCAAAGTCACCTGAGGAATCAGGGTACTGACACATAAATTCTACACACGTCTGTGTGCTGTGTCGGGGAGGGATGCGTGTGGCTACTGCTGCTTTTCTGTCATGGGTTCTCGCTGGCTCATCGATTACAGCTGCAGGGACACGAAGGAACGGGGTAATGATGACGAAACTGTGTTTTGCTAAATACCTAAGGAATAGAAGTTCATTTTTTGAGAATCACACAAAAACAACGAGAAGGCAAATCACCTCTCGCTCCACTAACGAGAGCTCGAACGTGAGCAGGCGAAGCAACTTTTTCAGCCCCTCCGAGACGGTTTTGGCTTCTAAGCGTATGCGGTCCAGACCACAGGTAGGGAGTGCTGGGAGACCGTCTGAATGCTTCTGGGGACAAGGGACATTAACAAACACGTGTAGGACGGGCTGGTTGGGGATTCTGGTCGATTCGAGGATGGGAGTCTTTTCAGAGGTGGGCATCCTCAGAAATGCGTCCTATTTCCTGCGTATTGTGAACCCCTGTAGCTTCCACAGGGAGAATGTGTGCAGTTCATGTAGAGCTTGGAGAAGCAGCATCTTGGTATTTTTCAACATGGGATCACAGACCACAGGTTCAGGTTCTATTAGGTGGGGGGCGGGGGGGCTACACATCGTCTAAAACACTTAACACACCAAACCACACACCAGTTTTGCTTTCATGAGACCTTTCACGAAATGGGCGCAGGTGAAGGCTTTCAACTATTTATTCCAACTCAAAATAGCAGCTTGGACCTAATGGGATACCTGGTGAGTAAAAAAAGAGAAGACCATATATAAAAATTAAAAAGAGGGGCGCCTGGATGGCTCAGTTGGTTAAGCGACCGACTCTTCATTTCGGCTCACGTCACGGTCCCGCAGTTCGTGAGTGTGAACCCCACGTCGGGCTCTGCAGCTGGCAGCGTAGAGCCTGCTTGAGATTCTCTCTCTCCCTCTCTCTCTGTGCTCCTCCCTCGCTCGTGCTGTCTCTGTCTCTCTCAAAATAAATACACTTTAAAAGATAAATATTAAAGGGGCGCCTGGGTGGCTCAGTCGGCTGAGCGTCCGACTTAGGTCACGATCTCGCGGTCCGTGAGTTCGAGCCCCGCGTCGGGCTCTGGGCTGACGGCTCAGAGCCTGGAGCCTGCTTCCGATTCTGCGTCTCCCTCTCTCTCTGCCCCTCCCCCGTTCATGCTCTGTCTCTCTCTGTCTCAAAAATAAATAAACGTTAAGAAAAAAAATTTTTTTTAAAGATAAATATTAAAAAGAAATAAAAGGTTTCTTTTCGGTATGTTATGCTCGTATTTCAACTTTGAAACCCTGCAATGGGTGGGTGAGGGCAGAAATAACGCCTCATCTGGTAGGTTATCTCAGGAATACAGATGTGTAACAAACAAAATCAATCATTCCATGGTGCCCGGAAAAACAGAGGAAGGGTGCCTACTGTTTAGGAACCAACCATACCGTCTGGAGAAATGCAATGGATTTGTTCCAAAGATACTATTGAAGTCACGGTCTATCCATAGGTAACAATGTCAATTTGTACATATTTGTACCAGGTGCATAGCAACCTACATGGACATATTTTACTGAGTTAACAAAATGAATGAATTCCGTAAAAATGCTAACAGAGGGCCCTGAGCAAAACCCAGGGTAGCCTCAGAAAGCTGTGCAGCCCCAATAAACGGTTTCTCTGCACCTGATCTCACCACCCTGTGAAATATGGATGTTGATGCGGCGCATACAGTAGGCTCTCAATAAATGGAAGATGGTATCGGATGAGTCACCACTGGGATAAAAGTTAGCCTAAGTAACATCTGATTGTGACAAAAAGACTGGCAATTTTTGTTCTGAAAGCTACAAAACAAATTTCAACACCAGTTCATTTCCAAGACAGTTGTTATTAGGATAGCGGAGAACAGCATTTCAAAGGAGGTTGGAATTGACCATTTATGTAAAACGGCTGCATTTTATCGTCTGCAAATTATCTCAATGAGGTTGATTTCATCAAAGAAAAAGTTGGTAATACGTGAGCTCTAAACTCCCCCTGCAACTGTAAAATTCCCTGATCTCCCAAAGTCAGGTGATTTGCCCACGGTCAGAAATCATGCCAAATTACCAGCTTTCAGTTTACCACCACATTTGAATTACTGAGAAAACCTCAGAAATACGATGATAAAAAGCGTATTTAATTTCTACTGAAGGTACAAACATCTATTCATTGATAGTTCATAATTAGCTTTTTATCAACCACGTTTGTGGTTTCTCATTACAGAGCAATTAAAAGTAAGCCAGTAGAGAATACAATGTAATGAAATGGAAATATGGCCATGGTACATTACCTTTAGGTGAAAAAAAAAAAGCTGATTATAAAACAGAACCATCCATCCAACTTTGGTAAAAATGTGTAAGCAGAAAGAAATTTTTTTTTAAGTAGGCTTCATGCCCAGCGCGGAGCCCAACGTGGGGCTTGAACTCATGACCCTGGGATCAAGGCCTGAGCTGAGATCAAGAGTCAGATGCTCAACCGAATGAGCCACCCAGGCGCCCCACACAGAAAGACATTTTTGAAGATACCTACTAGATTATTAAATATTAGCTAACTTGAAGAGGTGGGTTATACATGATTTGTCTTTTCCTCTTTTTCGTTCATTAGCCTGTCTATATTTTTAAATTTCAAAATATATGAACAATTATTAATTCTATAATAATTTTTAAGTAAAAGTAAATTAAAATATTACAACTAGAAGTCACTGTGATTAGAGGTAAAACATTACAAGTGGGCTGAATCTATGTAAGCCCGAGGTTATAATCAGGAGGCCGACAGACGAGTTCAAACTAGCTCTCGACTGACAGATTTCTAGGTTCTCCCGAAAAATCAGAAGTCCTGAGAGCACGGGGCTAGGACGGCCTGCTCCCCCAGCCAAGCTGCCGCGTACTTCAGATGAGGTCTCCCTTCTCTCATTTGCCGAAGGATTAACCATCTAGGTTTTTCACCTGTGGTCTGAACAGCACAGCATTATAAGCCAGAAACATTGCACAGGAGATGAAAATGCAGCCCTGGAAGATTAGCTGATCCCAGTATCTTTGAAATTTTTAAAGAGTGTGCCGTGAACATATGTGCATGTATACACACACCCTTCCTACACATACACACACGCTGCTAGACGAAAATGACATAGTATTAATTGAAATGTACTAAACATCTCTGGCCAGTAGAAGTGTAAGTGATACCTTTTGTTTTTCATACTTTGTATTTGTACTGTTCAGATTTTCTAGAAGGAGCTAATTTCATTTATAATTAGAAAAAGTCTAGGAAAACAATTTCTTAGACTAATATCTCCTATGCCATTCTGGAATATCTCTGGCACTGCAGCTCATTAACCAACGAGAACCTACGACAGCAACTCAGCAAAAGCTACACACACGTGCTCACGCGTGCGCGGGCAGGTACAGGATGTGTCTCGTCACCCTGATTCCCATGTCACCTATCAAACCCAAAGAGTTCACCTTATGCATTTTGGTCTGTAAATATGTCCATTCACAAAGAAGCCGACTTAAAAAACTGGTCTAGTAGTAGAGAAGACATAACTGTTTTTTTAAACTGAGAATCACAGGGCACCTGGGTGGCTCAGTCGGGTGGGTGTCTGACTTCAGCTTAGGTCATGATCTCATGGTCTGTGAGTTCGAGCCCCGCGTCGGGCTCTGGGCTGACAGCTCAGAGCCTGGAGCCTGCTTCGGATTCTGTGTCTCTCTCTCTGCCCCTTCCCCCTCATGCTGTGCCTCTCTCAATCTCCAAAATGAATAAATGTTAGAAAAAAAATTTTTTGAACAAAAAAATAAAGTGGGAATCATTTATTTTTATTTTTTTTTTGCCTTTTTAAAATATAATTTCTTGTCAAGTTGGCTAACATACAGTGTATACAGTGTGCTCTTGGTTTTGGGGGTAGATTCCCGTAGTTCACCGCTTACATACAACACCCAGTGCTCATCCCAACAAGGGCCCTCCTCGATGCCCATCACCCATCTTTAAAAAAAAAAAAAAAAAAAGAGGGGCGCCTGGGTGGCTCAGTCGGTTGAGCATATGACTCTAGGTCGTGATCTCATGGTTCTTGAGTTTAAGCCCAACGTCAGGCTCTGTGCTGACAGTGCGGAGCCTGCTTGGGTTTCTCTTTCTTTCTTTCTCTCTCTCTCTCTCTCTCTCTCTCTCTCTCTCTCTCTCCCCCTTGCTCTCTGCCCCTCCCCTGCTTGTGCTTTGTCGCTCTAAATAAATAAATAAAATCCTAGCAATCTACAAAAAACAACTCATCATTATGTGAGAGAAATCATTTCAGATTATTCGCGAAAGATCTAAAATGGTATTGAGTGGACTTCCATCAAGCATTAAAAAGACTGACGTTTTCTTCTTATCTGGAGGCTGTGTGTCTGCTCAAAAAATTCCCAAGTTATGGGGGGGGGGGAAATTATGAGGCTGTCACACAAACACAAAACACGACACAGTAGAAAAATCATTTAAATGTTCACGCTGATGACCCGGCAGGCTTAGGACTTATAAGCACTGGCAAGACGGCAGAAAATTCTTAACGCTACATTCGTGGTTTGGCAAAAGCACTGTCTTGAGTTTCACAGGGAAGAAATCAATAGGAACAACTTGAAACTGTTTTCTTTCTCGGTGGGAAAAACAAGTGCCATAAATTTCAAGTATTTTTTTTCCCCATCCTTTGAGGCGGCCAAGGCAACCGCCGAGACCCTGTGGCCCTCTCAGGTATAGTGAATTTTCAGGAATCAATGACATTCTCGAACTTACTGTTAGAGAACCTCTGCAAAAACGAGAAAGCTGTCAATTTTGGATACAAAGTCATCGTTTTCACCCTTTAAACAATCGAGCGATAGATTGAGACAACACACGAGGGGCACAGGACAAACTACTTTATCCTACAAGTCACGCGTCAAGAAGCACGGGCACTTCCTTACCTAAAGATTGGTAGAGCTCTGTCATTTTGGGATGGTCCCAGCAAGTCGTTTGGGTCTCGTGGCTAAAACAGAAAATACAGAGAGAGACTTTAGAATGTCTGACGGGTAGGAGAGAAAAGGAAGGGGAGAACAAAGCACGGCTTGCTTCTCCTTTATTCGGCATCATTCCTGCAAAGCACTTCCCCTCAAAGCGAAAAGCAATGTGAACTTACTTCGGTAACCAGAGTGTGCTGCTTTCTGGCACCCACAAGTCGGTTGTGCTTCTGTTACAAGAAAATACAACGCCTCTGTTGGGTAATCAATAAACGAAACCCAGGATTTCTTCACCTGTCCAATGGAGAACATTCAGATAGGGCACGGACAAGTGGTACTCCACCCGGTCAAAGAGAGACTGGATATCGGGTTCAATAAAGTGCCTCACTTCTCATTTGCTCTTTACCGCCCTTGACATTTTTCTCTTGCTCCTTCTTCTACATAAGCAGGTCTCATACCCACGACAACTGCATTTCATCCCGGCCTAAGGTACAGCCGCTGCCCGACTAACGTACCCTTCCCTTTCCTCTCCGCATTACTTTTCAACAGTCTTGTTTTACTCAGCCCTCTACACAGCACTCCACAGTTGTCTTCCATTTCTGAAGTCTCGCTAAGTGTGACTGCCAGCTACCAGGTCCCGGCCACAGAAAGAACAAAACGCCTTTGTTCCTAATTCAATTACAAGAATAAATCCGGGAGAGATAACTACATATACTTTTCCTTACTCTGGCCCATCTACAGAAATCGCCATAGCATCGTATTTCCAGTTTTCGAGGATTGCGTGACAGGCTTTGATATGGTAAAATGCAGCCCTGAACATAGGTATTTCAAGAGTCATGTGCCTGGCCTATTCATAATCTTTGGGGGGGAAGGGCGGGGATGTTGGCCCACAGAGAGTACAGAGGTCTCACAAGGAAAGAGGAGTTTGGGGAGGCAGCAAATGGCAAGTGACCTCAGCAGAGATTTTAAATGTGAGGACTGGATTCTGGCTGGGGGCCCTACTAACTGGACAATTTGGGGCAAGCCTGCTCACTTGGGAGCGTCAGTGGATTAGGTGACCAGCCCGTTCTGGTGCTCAGTGCATGGCTGCTCTTGTTACTACGTGGCCCCCAAACTAACACCCACTAAAAGCCGACTTTGTATTAGTTGAGGCCGCTTCAGGTGCGGATCCACCTGCAGTAAGACTGCCAGATCCTTTGTAGAGAACAAAAACCACTCAATGTGAATTACCTCTTTTTTTTTTCTTTTTAAGAAGTTAAAAGAAGGGGGGCGCCGGGGCGGCTCAGTCGGTTAAACGGCCGGCTTCGGCTCAGGTCATGATCTCGCGGTTTGTGAGCTCGAGCCCCGCGTCGGGCTCTGTGCTGACAGCTCAGAGCCCGGAGCCTGCTTCAGATTCTGTGTCTCCCTCTCTCTCTGCCCCTCCCATGCTCACGCTCTCTCTGTCTCTCAAAAATAAATAAACATTAAAAAAGAAAAAGAAAAAAAGAAGCTAAAAGGAGAAGTGTCTATTGTGGTCTGCGAAATACAATAAAAAATGTCACAAAGCATGTGGAAATTCCCCAAACTGTCCACCTTCAAAGACCCCTCCCTCTGATATTCACCATCCAGCGACTGGACAGTGAGGGCTACCGAAAGAAAGTTACAAGACAATGTTCGCTCGCAAAGGGCCGGTTCAGTCTCTCCCAAACGCGCTCACTTCTGGCTTATTCTTCCACAGAGACGATTCGCATGTGAGGACAAGAGGGGCTTCTGAGTGGAGGGAAGGTATCGGAGTGACGTCCAAGTCTTAAAGAGCAAAGAGAGAAGACGCACGCAGTCCAGGCTCAGGGGCTTTGAGGAAGCCCCACCACCAAGCCGCTTTTGGATCTGGAGAAGAGGTGGGAGGAACTGGTATTTTATATGCACAGCACAAGGAGGCTGCAGCTTCCAGCCTCACGGAAAAAGCGTTGCTTCTTCTCGGTGTTTTTTTAGCTCGGAAAGCGATGGTGTACCAATTCTGTACAGAAGCGCCCAGCAAAGAAAGACCACCCTGCATTCAGGCCTCCATCATTTCCAAAGGCCGTGCACACTGGGAGCGCCAGGGAGGGAGGAGGGGACAAGACGGGGAAAGCACGCGTGTCCACACTTATAGGCCCTTCATACACACAATGCATGATAATAAAGTCCCATCTCCACGGCGTGTGGGAGGACTGTAGCATCCTCAATAGATGGGCAGAAAAACGTGTGTTTGAGCTGATAAACCTGACCAGACCAGCACTCTGAAAGGCCACCATCTGTAAGGGACGCCAAGTCGGAAGAACACAGTAACTTGTACCAAACGCAATTCCAAAAGAAAAGAGACACTTGCATACAAGGGGCCGGAGAATCCCACAGAGAGTGAATGCAAGCTCCCTCTCTCCATAATAAACCTCATAACTGGTGATAAACTGACTTTTTTACCTTTTGAAGGAATTTATTCCAGTGGTTCAAAATCAGGGGAAGGATTCTAGAAACTCTGCTTTAATCCACACCAGTCCTTAGCTAAACCACGACTTCCTTTGCTGGAAGATAGAAGAAATTCCAAGCCCCTCCTTCTAGCCCCACTCCATGGATTGCTAGATACCAGGCCCTCCCAGGTCCTCATTTGCTCGCTTACCTGTGATTCGGGGGGACTTGAATAATCCACATAAATGAACTCACACAAATCCAAAAGCCAATCTTCTTTTACCTTCTTCCTAACACGCAACCCTTTTCTTTTTAAGCAATGCCAGAAAAGTAACCAGAAAACAGATGTGTATGTCACCTGTAGGATTTCGGTTGCACGTCGATTACAAACCAGAACGAAGCAGAAGTGAACACAAGTGGGAAGAAGAAAAGAATAAAGGCTGTGACTAATCCTCCAAAAGAGAAAAATAATCTTTTAATCAGTTCATGCTAAAAAAAACGACTGGCCACACAGCTAAAACGACTTCCGATTCTTTGGTAACTGTTAAGTTGAACCAAATACTCACTTCAGTGGATGTGGGTGTTTTCAGGGTGTGGCGAATTCAGCGCCCTAGTGAGACACGTTTAACCCCCAGAAGAGAAAGAAAAGATGAATATGGACGGTGTGAAATGGTATGGGTATGCACAAAGTCGTGGAACTCCTATTCCTACCCTCTCTTACAGGACAAACCCATTTTTTGTATGGGATCAGCACAGATTTTACAGCTGTATTTATTACTCTGTGTCTAAGTTCAAAAACAGGAGACGATTCTCACCAACTCCATGAAAGGCAGCTCAGGTCTACCTGGAATATACAGAAAATATAGAAAAAGATACTGTGCTGGGGAGGTAGTCGTGGAAGCGTGGGTGGTGCCTTTTTTGGTAACTGCTTTTTTTTTTTTTTTGCATTTCACTTTTCACATCTGAAACACGCTCCGCATGTACCATGCCGAACCAAAAGGGACTTGGAAACCTGTTCACAAGTTAATGGGTCCATCTTTGTTCAGTCTTCTGAGAATAATGACGTTTGACACCGATCAAAATTCTGCATGCCCGTTAACACAGACACTAGATTCCTAAATCATCCTTAAAACGCTCTTTAAATCTCTAAAAAGTGTTCTTACTGATTCTAGCCCTGCTGGTTCCAAAGCCTGGCATCAGAGAGGCCTCTCTAAACAGCCTTTAAACTCTGATTTCCCCTTTTAAAATGTGTACAAACTACAAGACTCTCTCTTTTCTCTTTTATTTGAGGCCATGATACGGAGCTGATGCAAATTAAAATACAAAATCACTCGATGTGACAAAAGACCCCGGCAACACCTACTTGTCAATAACAAGAAATCAAAGCATTACTCTACTGAGCACTGGGCTGACCTAATTTCCCACCATACAATTTAAATTTTCTCTCACCTTCTTTAGTTTCACGTAGTGTGCAAGGTTATTATAACGGCCTCAGAGCTGTTCCTGCTGTCGGTGCTGGAATAATCAGACTTAGTGGAATTGCTTTTTTAGTTTCTTAAAAACAAACATTAAACACTTATAAAAAGTAACAAATTTCTACTCCTCTCGCCGGGGAAATGGCAGTTGCCTAATTAAAGTAAGATTTCTTCTGCCACCACTGTTATTGGGTACTGAAAATATTCCAAACAGTTGCCGTTTAAAAAAAAAAAAAAATCTTTTTCCACTACTTCCG